CAGGTCCCCGAGGAGAGCATCCCAACCCACGAGGAGCTGGAGAGTGTCCCCGAAGCTCTGCCCGGGCCCCTGGAATCGGCTGAGGAAGCAGCTGGTGGCGAGTCAGTGATGGCACTGGAGGAGCAGCCGGTGGAGGAAGGCTCCTCACTGCCCAGCGAGGCCCCCTCCGAGGATGAAGTGACTCGGGAGACCCCACATGAGGCCCCGGAGGAGTTGATGGAGCTGGAGGAAGAGGAGCTGGAGGGCAAGAAGGGGCTGGAGGAGGCCGATGGCGCCCAGGCCCTCCCTGAGCCTGCCCCGGCAGGGCAGCTGCTCGTGGAAGACGAGGAAGCCCAGCCGAGCCAAAGGCCCTCGGATGCAGTCGCACTCCTGGGAGAGGAGGAGAAGCCCCTGAGCCCTGACGCACCCAGCCCGACACTGCTGGACCTCTCCGTGGAGCCCACAGCCGACTCCCAGCCGCCACGGTCTCCATCGCTGGAGCCTTGCCCGAGCCCTGCCGCAGCCCCCGGGCCCGAAGCGGAGGAAGCAACGGAGGAGGCAGCCGCTGAGTCTGCCCCAGAGCCTTGCCCCAGCCTGGCACCTGCCCCCCTGCAGCCGAGCAGGCTGGAGCCTGCGGCACCTGAGCCTCGTGCCATGGAGACGCAGGAGCCCTGCTCCCCACCGCCGGCCACTCCCCTCCTGCCAGCCCAGCTGGTCTCTCTGGAGCCAGAGCCAGAGCCGGAGCCATGCCCCGGCCCAGCCCAGCCTGCCTCCCCCGGAGCCGCCAGACAGGAGCCTCCTGGTCCTCCGTGCTCCCAACTCATCCAAGTGCCTCCCGCCCTCCTGTCTTCGCCGCCTTGCTCCAACGAGCGTCTGCAGGGCCCGCAGGACACCTCGGGGCTCCCCATGGCCGAAGCCGGCGTGGCCGCGCGGGACGACCAGCCTGCACCGCTGGACTCCAGGAAGCGCTTGGAAGGTACCGTTTTTACCCCCAACCTGTGCCAGCCCCCTTGTGTGGGCCGTGTCTGCCTTTGCACCCGACGTGGGCAGCTGGCACCGCGGCTTTCTCCAGCCCATGTGAGCCAGGGTTGGCTGGTGCCCCTGTACCCCTCTGGGGCCACTCGGGACCACCGCCCTGCTCCCCCCCCCCACCCACTGACGCTGCCGCAGCCCCTCTTGCAGGGGCTCGGCTGTCCTGGCCGGTCTCCAGTTGGGCAAGCCCTGTTCTCCACAGGTCTCTGACCCATCCCAGCCAGTGTCGTCGGGGGCCTCTTCCACCCCAGACAGCTGCATTTTGGGCTGAGGGGCTATTGCAAAGGCCTTGCAGCTGCTTGGACCAGGCGACCCTCCGCCCTGACCACACGTGGCTCGAGACCTAG